AAAAAAAAAAAAAAAAACTAGCCCCAGACCTGTTAAACCAGTCCAAGTGACAAGCAAAAAAAAATTTTTTTTCCTAGTCATTGACTGAAAAGGAAATACTGTAGGGTGTTGCATAGTGCTCTACACCTGAACCTGTTCACACAACATTTCAGAGAGGTCAACACCAAATGAGAGTTCTCTGAGGCTGGCTTTCACAATCCCAGGCCTTTGACATTACACTGAAGTATAAAGTCATTAAGCAAAAGGCCATCACTTCCCAACTTTCCCTTCCATTTCAAAACAATTTAATCTTTTTTAACGGTGGCAAAGTTTACTTGAAAAAGTAAAAGTGAAAAGTGAGGGGAAAAACAGCTCTGCAGAGCAAGCTTGGGCCGAGAGAGACAGAGAGAGCAAAGAGCAAGATAAAAGTACACCCTGGAGGACATAGGTGGGCTATAGCGAAAAACAATTTTATTTTATGATTGATGTACTCTGCACTGGTAAAACAAAGGAGACTTCTACAACATTAGTAAATAAAAGTACCTTAATAAACTATTACTTTACCTGTGACACCTTTCATATACCCACTTTACAATATTAATTATTCTTGGGCTCACATCAGTTCTCCTGCTTTTATGAATTAAATAGTAAAAATAAAGAAATTGAGGCAAGAGAAGTGGGAAGACACTTGCTAGTTTGTAGCAAGCAAGCTCCTAGCTGAACTCTGCGAATTGTGGTCCTGCTCTATTAGGCACTGTTTCCCCAATGGGCAGCAGAGAAATCCTCAACACAGATATCCAAAGCATCCCTATCATGAAGCAATATAAACTTGAGTATTTGAACCCTCCAAAGGAGAAGAAACTACTGTATGTAACCAAGGAAAGCATCCTTCTCAATCTGAACTATGGGATTAGGAAAACAAATTAGAGAAAGAAAATCAAGGAAAACCAACTTCTGAGACTGAAGACCAGATTATTAAGTTTAGTCTGCATAACAGTGAAATTTCTGAAACACTGTTTAAGTATTAATGGAATCAGGAACTCCCAGAGTCATTTGATTTCAGTCTTAAACCTCAAAACAGAAATAGTTCAAATTAAAGTAGTTCTCCTATCTGAGCAGTTATATTTCTGTATACTTCTTCAAAACCCACAAGGACTACATTAAGTCCCTGATTTTTAGGGGGGGATTTCAAGTGTCCATTTGCCCTTCTCCAACTCCAGGTTGGCCTGGATCTAGGCAGGCCCTTCACTACACATTTTCCTCTGAAATCTTTACTCTCCCATCACCTTCCTGCATCCTACTCCAAATGCTGCCCCGAATCAGTACAGCACTCGCAAAGGAAAGAGTATCAACAGGCATGCACATTTACTACATCTCCACAGAAGACCTAAAATCCTGCGAGCAGGAACTGCCAAAGGACAGCCTGCTTGGCCCTGGCTCTCACCACGATACAAAGACACAGTTGAGAGCAACAGCAAGATTCGCTGCACCTCACTCCGCAAGTGAAGGAGACTTTCAAGGCAACCAGACCCAACCCTGGACACCGTCCTCCCACGTGGTCTTCTCCCGCTCCCTGGCCCGGAGTCATACCGGCGAGGGGTCTGGCAGGAATCCGTCCCGAGTTGGCCTAACAGAGCTCGACCGACCACCTTTAGCAGAGTTCAGACAGGAGCCTACTCGCTCCAGGCGGGCATCCCCGTCCCTCCTCAGGGCCCTAAGTCAGTACACCTCCCAGTTCCGGGGTCCAGGCCGCCATCCCTGAGACTCCAGAGCCCTCCACGGTGCCCGGGAAAGGACCTCAAGGGCCCAGGGCTGAGGAGACCGCTGGGCTGCCCAGCCTCTACGAGTCGGGAAGGATGGAGGGCCGCGTGCGCGCGGAGGCTGGGAGGCGGCCCCTGCCTGCCACCGCCCCTCCCCTGCCCCAACGTCTCCAGCTTCAGGATCCGGGGCTGGAGGGCCGCCCTCCCCTCACCTCAGGCTGGCAGCTTCCCCGGTCTGGCGGTCCCGGAGCCCCTACGCGGAGGCGTGCTGGGCGGGCGGCGAGGCCGGCAGCTGGGCTGGCGATGGCTGACGGACGCGCCGCAGCAGGCAGGCCGGCACACGGGGCGGGGCGGAGCTCCCAGGGACCTGCCCCGCCCCCTGCCCGCCCCCTGCCCGCCCCGTCCCTACCTCTGCCCCACCTCAGCCGCTGAGCCCCATGAGGCGACTACGTCCGGGGTTACTCCAGGTCATTCACCTCCGACCCGGCTCCCTGCTGCGGCGTGGTGGGGGGGCGAGGCGCGGGCCCGCGGCAGCCAATGGCAGAACGGCGCGGGGCGGGGCGACGTGAGGCGATGCAGATGGTCCGAGCGTAGCTCTGCCATTCCCGGCTGAGCGGTCTGAGGGCGGGCGGGCCCCTGGAGGCCGCGGCGTCCCCTAAGTCTGGACACGTGTGGGGCCAGCCCGCTGGCTCCCCCTCCCGGCGGAGAAAGAAGTGGAGGAAATGGCCCCACAGGCTCCAGAGCCAAAAAAGTGAGGGCCCGGGACTGCCGAGCTAGTGGCCCGGGAAAGGGAACCCAGAAACCAAGGCAGGCGGGGAGGGGCATCGTATGGACCCATGTGGACCCCAGCACGTGAGAGCTGTGTTCACTCACAGCTCCCATCACACAAGTTGGATTCCAAGTTATTGCAGGCTAACTAATCCCTGTAGTGGAACTCAGTAACCAGGCCCCTTCTTTGCTTTGTTCCTCTCCCCTAAAGGCAGCCCACCCCACAGGAGCAAGGTGTTGGATCCTGAAGTACTGAAGGGAATGCTTAGTAAGGGAAGCTCAGTGAGACCGGCAGGGTACCAAAGACAAAAGTCTTCCGCCTGCCCTGAGCAGAAAAGTAGGTGTCAATGAGTTTCTGGCTTACATTGCAGAGTGCTTTCCATAATACATTAGAGTTACATCAAGCCTTTGAGATGAAGCCAACCAATTTCCCTAATTTTGTGTTACTTGAAACAGAAGACCATCTTGGTGGCTGTGTTGAAAATTAATAGTAACTGGAAGGAATCCCAATAAAATACAACTGTTGGGCAAGGACACCACAAAAACTGCCACTAGGGTCAGGATTTAGCTCAATTGTTCCGCCCCCTGCCTCGAAAGCTCAAGGTCCCAAGTTCGATCCCCAGTACCAAAAAAAAAAAAAAAAAAAAACCTGCAGCAAATTGCAACATATAAGAATGGAGTGAGTTCTAACACCTGGCAGTTACTGAATAAAGTACACAGAGTATTTTCTTAATCCTTAAGCTTGTGATGACGTCAGGAGAAATGCGGAGGATGACATTTGGCTGGAAGAAGTTATATGCCAGAGGGCAAAAAGTGAACTACACACGCCAGCTAAGAAGTTACTAGGTGGACACCTAGGCAGGAAGAAAGATTGATCAAGAAGGAACATATATATCTAGGATCCCTCAGACTACCATTAAGTAGTGGCTTCTCGAAAAAATACGTGTGATTTTGCCCATTTTTGAAGTAACAGGGACTTGGAAACAAATTTGGAAAGAAGATGTGAATTTTATAAAATAGTGACCCATATATTACAGTAATTGAGTCATTGGGATAAATGTCAGTTGGATGAAGGTAGGAACCTCAGAACAAAAACAAATGAGCAAAACTTCTTGGTTTAACAAGATGTTTGACATAACTGATTAAAACCTGGCCTGTGGCATACACCTGTGAACCCAGCTACTCAGGAGGCTGAGGCAGAAGGATCAAAATGTTCAAGCCCTGTCCAAAAAAAAATTTAAAGGAGGATGTACAACATATACTTTAAAAATATGATGTGCACTTACTTTTTTTTTTTTTTGGTACCTGGGATCAAACGCAGGTCCTCGCGCTTGCAAGGCAGGAGGCAGAACCACTGAGCTAAATCCCCGGCCCTGCACTTACATTTTTAAACATTACACTAAAAGACATTTCCATTAATTCCCCCATCAAAATACTCCCCTCACTTTGAACACACTTATCCCATTGTTCTTGCCACTTTCTGAAGCAGTTCCAGAAGTCCTCTTTCATGTCTTTAATTGTGCTTTTATGGCTCCTTCCTTATGTCCTGAATCACTTTAAAATGCTTAACTTTCATGGTCATTTTGACTTTGGGGAAGAACTAGGAATCACATGATACCAGATCTAGTGACTAAGGTGGATGAGGATACAGGATAATGTTTTTACATTATGTTGGGTGGCAATCAACAGCATTCAACATATTTTTTATATAAAAATAGTTATGAAAGAACTCTAATTCCTTCCTTACCACTTCCAAAACCACTTACAAAGGATCTAAAGTGACCATCAAATGTTAAGACAACTGGGCAGAGAAAAGGCAAAGAGCTCTGTGTCTTTAAGATAGTAGACAACCCCTAAGAGTTGGGTTATTGGTACATGCCAAAACCTCCTCATCCCTGTGAATGGAACTGTGAAGAACCCTCTTCTAATGGCTGTCTGACCATAGTTCCAAATTTCATAAGTAGCTACTCCATGAATTCTTGCCATACAAGCCATTATGTCTATAAGAGGCAGCAGAGGAGGGGTAGAGGCCAAGGGTGGAGAGAACTTACTACACAAGACAACAGGTGGAAGAGAAGAGGGTGAGTACTATATTTCAGAAGTTGAAACCAGAGGATTCTTATGGACTGCACTGTACCCCCAAATTCCTGTGCAGAAGTCCTAATAGCCAATACCTCAAAATGTGAGTATATTTGGAATTAGGATCTTTAAAAATGCAATTAAATTTTTAAAAACTCATTAGGGTGGACCCTAATAAAACATAACTGGTGTCCTTATAAGAAAAGACTAAGAGACAAAGGGAAGAGTGTGTGAAGACAGGGAGAAGTCAACTATTTAAAAGCCAAGGAGAAAAGTTTCAGAAGAAACTTAACTCCGCCAACACCTTAATCTTCGACTTCTAGCCTCCCAAAATGTGAAGAAACCCATTTCTGTTGTTTAAGCAATTCTTGTTTCTGTGTTGTGGTACCTTATTACACCAGCCCTAAAAAATTAATACAAGGTCCCAAATATCAAATGGTTTCTAGGTTGTTCAGGAAGGTTGTACAAAGGTATCAAAGGTTTATCTTAAGCATGCCAGCTACCTTCCAACATTAAAGTTGGTCTGTTTCCCAACTGTAAAGCCAGAAATGTCTGACTGGTCATTGTCTTTAAGGTGATTACAATCTATTTCAGAATACAAAACTAGCTACATTAAAAGTCTACATTTCACTCCTTAGATGATTGCTTTGTGAATTTGTAAAAGTTTTAGATGAGAGTACAAATTCTCAAAAGTGGATAAACCCATATATATGTTTGTCACTGTCCAGGGAACTCCAATTGGTTCTTTATTGTAAATTCCATTTTAATTAGGTCAGTGTTTTTCAAGTTATGTTCCGCTGAACTCCTGAAACACTGAGGTGCTTCTTAAAAATGCAGATTTCTAAACTGGACATAGTGGTGCATGCATATATGGAAGGCCCTGAATTTGATCCCCAGCACTGAAAAAACTCCTGATTCTCAGCCCTGCGCAGACTTTTTTTAAGCTACCGTGGCAATTTTTCACCCTGAAGTTTGAGAATACTAATTTAATATGTATTATTATTGTTCCCTTCTTTGCTGCCAGACTGTCTTATAATGCCTCCTATACCTGTATTTCCAAGGTATGAAAAGCTATCAGGTCAGGCTTAAATTGAGTCAACAGAGAAAGGAAAGTGCCTTAGTAGAAAATGGAACTGTGAAGAAGCCTGATCTAATGGCTGTCTGACCATAGTTCCAAATTTCATTAAGTAGCAAGGCCTTTTGGAAAGGACAGAGAAAATAACTGAGATGTTATTTTCCACTGACACCCAACTGTCATATACTAATCTGTCTTCTGGTACTTATACATTTGCTTAATCTGGCAGATTTATCCTTACTTCCTCCTATTTTTCCTGAATCTTTCTAGTCCTTGGAAGTCTTTACTTCATCTTCTCCATCTTCCACTGATATCTTCCTCCTTCCTTTCTCTTCCTCCTCTCCCCTTTGGCACTAGAGATTAAACCTAGGGCCTTCACACTGAGCTACATCCTGTCCTACCCTTTGTCTTTTGAGACAGGGTCTTGCTAAAACGCTAACTTGACAAACTTTCAATATTCCTGCTTCAGCCTCCCACAGTGCACCCAGCCTCCCTGGCTTCTCTAATCTCTTATAACTATATGGTTGTCATCACATAGTTCAGCATTTAATTAGGCTGTAATTTTGTGTGTGCATATTGGTTTCAGCTGTTCAGATAAATTTTTGTTTTGGTACTGGGGATCGAACTCAGGTCCTTGAGCTTGCACAGCAGGTGGTGAAACCACTGAGCTAAATCCCTGGCCCCTGTTCAGATAAATTTTAATGAATTTGAAGGTCCAGAACAGTTCTTATAGTTTAGCACCCCTCTTTATAGCTCTTAGAGTAGGAATAAGTATAGATATTACAAGTACTTCATTGACTGAAATGAAGATTCTTGCTGTACCTGAGAGGTCACTCTGCTCCTGATGTCTGCCCATCAGCCTCCATATTCCCTCTGGTAGGCAAAGCCTCCAGTGGGATATTTAGATGCTTTACAGATATAATTCATGAAGAAAGTCAGTGCCTTGCCAAGAAATGTCGCTCTCTTGTCATAAGATACAAGGAAAAGACACAAAGGCCTTATCTGAACACAAACACAATGTTCCTTTGTTCAGGTCAATCATTCAGGTTTACCCTGGGTTAAGAGTCTGAGAGAACTTCACACCATAAGGTCAAAAAATGTCCTCAGGCAGACCACTTTAGGTCTGGTCCTGATGGTGAAAGATAGGATTGCATAACAA